CCTAGACTTAAATTATAATTGTAATATTTATGTACTAATGGGTGTGTAAAAGTTCACATGTGCATACACATATTGTGTGCATTCTTTTAGGAAGACTGCTTCTTGGGTTCTTGAGGCACAGATCCTATGATAACAACACAGCTGTACCTAACCTGAGCATAGCTCCAGCCTTTGGCATACCATTAAGAGCTGAGAATATTTCCAAGCCACCCACACTGCAGTGAGGAGTGATGACGGGCAAGTTTACACTAAGGAGAATCTTAAAACCCCCTAAAGACATTTTGAAAGGGCAAATATTATATATCACTTCTTAAAGAACCAAAGGGATTTTTTTCACTCCTTCATAAGGTGCCAAGTATAAGAGCCTTTGCCATTCCACTCTTCGTATACTTGGGATAGCAGATGCAACCGGCAAACTGTCTAGTCCAAAAGAAAATCCAATTCCTCAAACTCCAAAAGGCAGTACAAATATTCAGAAATTAGTTCAATCTGGCAGTTTCTGGCAGTTAGATAAAAAGGCAGCCCAGGAGTCAATTCCCGTACTGCTGGCAGAAGGTCTGTCAGTACATCACAGCACGTGTTAGTATCACAAGTACCACGATAGCATCCTAGCCCTCCTCACCTCCTCCCCTAACCTAACCTCCCTCCAGCTCATGGGCTTCCCTCCCCATGGCCACTCACTTTCCTTATAGCCCTGCTGTTCTCACTATGTTCCACCCCATCTCTGCTCCTACTTCTGTCATTGTATTCTCTCTATCCCCTATCCCCCAAGTAGCTCTGGCCATAACCAGTCTGCTGGCCATGTCCAGTCTACTTCTTTCTCTCTGCTCTGGCTGTTCTTTCTCTCGTACCTACAATAAAAACCTTCCCCTTAACCATACTATGCATTGGCCATGCCATCACTTTATCTGTTGCTCAGCACTCAGGAGTGGTTCACAGAGACCCCTCTCCAAAGTGCCTCTCCCTCTCCAACCCAAACCAAGCTATTTGGAATGCTTGTTTCTTCTAACTCCTGTTGCCCACCATCCCATACTCCAAGTTTTGGAGTCATCCTCTGCGGCTGCTTCTTCTCTATACCTGTTCTCTCATTAAAGCTACCTGATCTTTCTCTGTCAGCTGCCAGACAGAACCTACTACTCTTATGAAGTCATGCTGGTGTGTTCTCTCTCCCTATTGGGACCCGTCCTTTGTGATTTTGGACAGTTTGCCCTGACATGTCTCTCAGCCCACTTGGGTATGGTCTGGATTGGAATTCTTGTCACCAGGACACTTAGTGTTCTCTCTTCCATCCTTGATCTCCCTCCAGACATGGTCTCAGCTCCCTCCTGAAGCTTGCTCTGTGTCTCTTGTCCATCTCCTCACTCTAATCCTGACTGCCTCCTTGCTAGCTCTGTCTCTCAGCTTCCTCCTGAGCTAACTCTGTCTCTAACCATGGCTAACTATTTGTCTCTCCTCATCTCCTCATGGAGCTTCCTACTCTGTCTCTGTCCTTCTCATTGGCTCACTGGAGCCTGTTGTTGGAGACCTGCACATCCGTCAGGCATTTTTCTATGTTCTCCTGGACCTATTGGAATTCTCTCTCTCCCTCTCACACATGCGCGCGTGTACACATACACACACACATACACACATTCTCTCTCTCTCTTTCTCTCTCTCACACACACATACATACTCTCTCACACACATATCTCTCTCTCACACACTCTCATACACACATCTCTCTCACAAGCACACGTGTACACCCACACACACACACACTCTCTCTCTCTCACACACACACATACATACTCTCTCACACACTTCTTTCTCACACACACACACTCTCTCATACACACATCTCTCTCACACACACATACACACACACACACTCTCTCTCTGCATTTAGAACAGCCCCCCACACACACACACACTTCTCTACTCTTTTTTCTCCCTCAGACTCAGAGGTCCCATTAAGCCTCACTGTCTCACTACAAATGGCTTGGCCTTAGTGTAGCTCAACAGCAAAAGGTGGCACACTAGATTCCCAAATTCTCAAACACTGTAACAACTTCTGCCACTGTGCAAACAAATGATCCCCAAATCTCTTATCTCTAAGCCTTCTCTACTCCCTGCTCTTATCTCTAAGCCTTCTTTGCTCTGTCTAGTCTCTCCCCCAATCACTAAATTCAGCTTTATAGATATTCAAATGTCTTCTGTGTATGGATAATATGTAAATATTGTCACAAGCTACTCTGCTTTATTTTTAAATAATCTGGCTCTGGAGTATGGCCTCCCTCTCCAGGTCTAAAAATGATTGTTTAAAAGTATCCTACAAAATCTCTGCCTTGGGTCAGGCAGGGACACTTGTTTTTCTGACTAGGAGAAGGGCAGCAAAACAGAACAACACAAGAAAAGACACTATGCTTTAAAACAGCTAAAAAGTAAACCATTTCCTGTGGTGATATATTGTTTATGATCTAATAAATCTTGCCTGGATATCAGAATGCAAAGCTCAACACAGCCATAGAGGCCAGGCAATGGGGGGACGTGCCTTTAATCCCAGGACTCAGTAGACAGAGGCAGATGGATCTCAGTGAGTTCAAGGCCACCCAGAGCTACATGAGATCGAATCAGTCTAAAAGAGAAGCAGAGCTCATGCCTTTAATCTTAGCACTAGGGAGGTATATAAGACAGGAGCAGGGTCTCAGAGCTAGCAATTAGCCTCCAGCCATCTTGAGGACAGGAGGCATTCTGTTTCCAGCCATGCTGAGGATTCATGGAGCAAGGATCACCCTTTCAGTCTGAGGTAGAGGTAAGAGCTAGTGGCTTGGCTGCTTTGTTTTTCTGATCTTAGCTTGAACCCCAATATCTGTCTCTGAGTTATTATTATTATTATTATTATTATTATTATTATTATTATTATTAATGCTACAGTTTCCAATAGGAATTATTGCTCCTTATCTCAGATTCCTCTTCTTGGTTTTACCTAACTCTCGTGTAACTCTAAAAGGTTTGCTAAAGTATAAACTTTAGCTCAAGCTTTGTAAGACTATTGCACAAACTTCCTGTATCTAGGCATTTGTAAATGTACTGGGTGTGGTAAAAAGAAAAAAAGAAAAGAACCTTGTAAAATCTGTAACAAAAAGTTAGCTTAAAATTTGTAACAAAAAGGATTGATAGTTTAAAAATGTATACCATGTTTATAGCACAGGATGCTCACTAAGCCATTGATCAGCATTGACCTATGAACCCACCCACCAGTTCCAGGCAGGAGATTTGGTTTGGATACCGAAGATCCTTGCCCAGACTCTGGAGTCTGTCTGAAAGGGACTCTACCTAGTCATCTTCACCATTCCTCCTGCTGGCGAAGTACCTGGTGTGATCCCTGTACATGGCCACTGAGGATGGTGACAGATGGACTATCACTTGGACATTGGGCCTCTTAAAGAGAAGACTAACCTGGGATACACGAATCCCATGAGTTCCAACCTGGACTTTGGAATTCAGAAAAAAACTGGGGATGGGAAACTCTTTCATGCAGACCTCTGTTTTCTTATGTCCCATCCAGGGGAGAGACAGGAGTCAGCAAGTCATGGTAGAAAGGGGCTAGAAAAGGGCCTTCAGGGATTATAATTTTATGCATGTCCTACCAAGGACAAAGTATCTGCATCATGTGCTCAAACTGTCTGGCTTGCTTATACAATGCTTTGCCTAAATGTGCCTCCTTGGATCCACTGGAAAGTCATTTCCCTTACCTCTGGCAAAAGGGACATATAACTACCTATGGCACCTATCAGAATATCAACGAGCATGCTGGAATCACAATTTATGCATTTCAAAGTCCATGCTAGCATCCTAGCTCCTCTCACCTTCTCCCCTACCATTCACTTCACCAGCCTCCCTCCCCCTGTTACTCATCCTCCTTATTCTCACTATGTTCAAATCTATAGTAAAAACCTTCCTCTTAACCATGCCACAGAACAGTCAGTCATCAGTTTATACAGAAACTGCTTATACCTGGTTAAAGCTGAGTTCAAGCCCAGTGCTGCCACGAGCTAGCTGTGCTATTTCTACAGTTCTTAAGCTCTCTGACCTTCATTTCGACTTGTAGAAGCAAGCAGAGGCTGTCTTCCTCTCTTAGCTGCTGTGAAAACTGATGTCATGCCATCGTGCTCAGGAGATTTTAGGGTCCCAATCTGTCTAAACTCAGGACTGGATAAACTTCCCAAGGTAGAATCCCTTTGATTGGCCATCATCAAGCCAGCATTTCTGAGCAGGGGACTAGCCTGCAGAGGCCAAATGCAGCAGGCAACAGGCTGAAACCCAGAGCCCAACCGTTACCCAGGACAAACTTGCTATGAGACCTCCAGCAGAAAAACAGGGAGAAAAGAAACAGGACAGAACAACACAAAAATATCCACCAGTCCAGCCACCCAGTTTCACAGCTGAATTCCCGGAAGGGAAGAAAATTGGTTTACTTTTCCGCGCAGTCACAAGAGCGTAAACAAATCTCCAGAGACTTATTAATACAAAGTAACTTTCTTAAAGTAACTTTCTTAAAGTTACTTTGAGAAATGGTACCTTCAGACTCCCGGGTTGTAACCGCAGCCCAGAGTCGACTGACTTCCCCAGTTCAACGAACTGTCAAAAGTTTCAAGTCCATCGTGCCACACAGCCTCGGAGGGAACCCCTTTGCTGCCACGAAGTGGATCTTTGTCTGGGCATGTCTCTCGCCTAGGGTCCCTCTCCAACCAAACCAAAGCCATTCAAGATTCAAGACTCGACCAGCACCAGGCGCTGGTCATTCCCCACCCACACTTTTCCCAGAAAAGCGCGAGAGCTGCAGGATCTGAGCCTGCAGTTCAACTCTGAACACCGAGCCAAGAAAGAAAACAGCTCGCCCGCCTTTCTGGATATCTGCACTGAAGAGGGTGACCGTCAAGCAATGCCAGCCGCATCTGATTCCTGCGCGGTGGTCCCCAATGCTCATCGTCCCATATCCCCAGTGTCCCAAAGCTTACCAGAGGCAGGACAGCCCAAATCCACAGCATGTCTGAGCAGCAAGAGAAAGCCAGCCCGAATACCCACCTCTCAGCAGGGTGAGTCGCCAACAAGCCCTCTTATCACCCCACCCCACCCCCTTGCTCTAGATGGCTTCTCAGTGTGTACTTTGCCTGGGCCCGCCCCTGAGGTGTTAGCAACCAGATTCTCAAATCGTTTCCCTCAATGTCCTCAGAAATCGCTTTGAACACCTGTTTGTCACTTTTACAACCCATGTAAAGCCCCAGGGTTTGGGAGGAAGTTCTACTGGACTGGGCGGGGGGGGGGAGGGGGGGGCGGGAAGGGGGGCGGGGAAAATCCACTGACTCATCAACTCCCTGGTGGGGGGCTGGGGAGCCAGAGTAGGGCTTGATTGCACAACTGGGCATTCCCCATTCTGGGTGCTTCCACAGTCACACCCCCAGTTCAAGGGAGAGCCTTTTCCTCCTTTTGCTGTTGCACCCTGGGCAGAAATCTGAACTCCTGTGTGTGAATTGGACCTTGACTAATTGCTGGAGAAGACCATCCTGCCTTCATTCAGCCTTCAGTATTTTGTCAGTGACTGGACTGTTGAGGCTCCTGAAACACCTGAATAGTGTACAGAATGGTAATTACCATAGAGGACATACAGACACTGGGATCCTGGTGAGGGAGGGTCCCTCCACAGATCCATGAATAGTGTGTATTCACCATATAGGAGGTAGAAATATTGGGCTGTGGGATCCTGAGGGAAAGCCCATCCTGGCTGCATTTCCCAAGTGAAGAACAGAGCTAAATGGCCTATGTCAAATCATACCGCTGTTAAGTCAGTGATAATTAAGCTAGAATCCATAGAACCACAGAGGTTAGCTATATAGAGTTGGGGACTGGAGCAGCAGCGGGGGTCGGGATGGAGGGGCAGATAGATCTTGTTGGGAAAGGATAATTATGACTGGAGGTGGGGGCTGGAATGGGAGGATCAAGCTGGAAGGAGAGAGCAGGAGGATGGAGGAAATAGAGGGAGAGATAGCTAAACTTAAATGCCATTTGAAAATACGGAGACTCCATACATATGCAATGGTGCCCTGACTGTAAGACACAAAGCATGTGAGGTCAACCAGTATCTGATTTGACTTTAGGCCTACTCCGCAAGATGGAACACATACCTGAACCTGCTTGGGTGACCAAGAGCCAGATTATAGATGGCCTAGGTACCTAAGGTGAACCAAACACCACTGTTCTAATAGAAGAGAAAAGAAAAGAAACATTGCAATAAAATGACTCCTAATGATGTTTTCTGGACTCACAGATCTGGGCTTTGCTCAGCCATCATCAGAGAAGCTTCCTCCTGCAGCAGATGGGAACAAACACAGAGACCCACAGCCAGACATCGTTTGGAGTGAGAGACCAAACAAGGAACATTCAGCTCTAAATGGGATGTTTCCATCAGCTCCCTTCCTTCAGGGTCCAAATGAATAACAGGAAGAGTGGGAGAGCCAGAAGGGATGGAGGACACGAAGAAAATAAGATTCTCTAAGTCAACATGATCAAAGCTCACATGAACTCAGAGACTGAGGCAGCATGCACAAGGCCTGCTCGGGTCTGCGCCAGGGCCTTTGGAGATGTATCATGGATTCCAGCTGAATGTGCGAATGAGTGGGTCTCCGTCTCTTGTGCCTTCTTTTGGGGTCTTTCCCTTCTGTTTGCTCGTTCTGTACAATTTCAGTGAATTAAATTTTGTTTTATCTTAATGTTTTCTTCTTAGAAGCCTATTTGTTTTCTAATGACAGAAAGGGAATGCCTGGATGGAAGGGGGGTGAGAGGGCTACACGTGGGGGAGGGGAAGGGGGGAGGAACACTGTAATGAGGATATATTATGTGAGGAAAATTTGATTTTCAATAAAAGGGGGGGGCATAAACCTCACCCAGCTGTATTAAACATTGCTATTACTTCCTCCTTTTATCTTGATTATTTCCTGACCAATGTTCTTTGAAAAAAAAATTCTCATTCTCTACTGCTCTAGTTAAATAACATAGCTCAAAGACATTGTTACTTTAGAAAAGTAGATAGCACTTTAGTGTTGTGTGTGTGTAGGTTCTAGAACCTTCCTAATGCTGTGACCCTTTGATACAGTTCCTCATGTTGTGTTGATCCCCAACCATAAACTTATTTTGCTGCTACTTCATAGCTATAATTTTGCTACTGCTATGAATTGTGATATAAATATCTAATAAGCAGGTCCAGGGTACTCACCTCATATTTTCACCTCTTTTCTTCCCTGGAGGATTCAACTAATGAAACACACACACACACTCTCACACACTCACACACACACACTCTCACTCTCACACACTCACACACACACACTCTCTCACACACACACACACACTCTCACACACACACTCTCACACACACACACTCTCACACACACATACATACACACTCTCACACACACACACTCTCTCACACACTCTCACACACACACACTCTCTCTCACACACACACTCTCACACACACACACTCTCACACACTCTCTCACACACACACACACACATAGACACACTCACACTTACACACTCTCACACACTCACACACATACACTCTCACACACACACTCTCACACACACACTCTCACACACACACATACACACACACACTCTCACACACTCTCACACACACACACTGAGGGGAGGGGAAGAGAACCTCTTGTAGCATTTTCTTCTGAATTCATTTTAGAGCTCTGAGTCGGGGTTGTCAAGCTCCTTCCTGTCTGTGTTTCTTCTTTCTGTTTGTCAGGTGTCTCAGTATTTATACCGCAGCACCAGCCCTCACCCATCTCTCCTCTGCTCCCACCCCCACACTGAGTCATCTGCCAGTAGATTGTCAGTGCCATGGAGAAGCCTCAGTCTACAATTATTCTAAAATGGAAGAAAGGAAAGAACACTCTAAATAAAACCTTCCCTGCAAAGAGAAAAAAGGAAGGAAAGAGAAAGGGGAAGAAGTAGGTGGGGGAGGGGATGGGTGGATGAATGGGTGGTTGTGGGCAGGCAGCACAGGCACTTCTGGGAAAATGGAACTTGGTAAGATTAACATTCCTTGAGTATGAACTATGAGACAGCAACTTTCACTTTCAATCTATTCTCTTAATACTTTTCAACTTGGTGGGGTGCGTGATTACAGAATTACTTTAAAAGTGCTGGCCAGGAAGGGCAGACAACCTGATTTCTCACCAGAATGTGAGAACTAGCTCTCCAAGGGTGTTCTCTGCCCTCCACATGTGTGAACGATGGCACGCATACCATATACCCTGAATACACACAATAAGAACAAAGTGATGAGCAAAGGGGTCAAGACCACGCTGGGGAAACCCACAGCTGACCTGAGCAAGTGGGAGCTCATGGACCTCAGTCAGAAAGCTGGGGAACCAACATAAGACCAAACCAGGCTCCTTGAAGGTGGGTGTCAGTTAGGAAGCATGGGCAGTCTATGGGTCTCTGGCCGTGGAACCAGTATTTATCCCTAGTGAACGAATGGACATTCCACATAAAAGGATACTCTCTCAGCCTAGACACATGGTGGAGGGCCTAGGCCCCACTCCAAATGATGTGACAGACTTTGATGATCCCCCATGGAAGGCCTCACCCTCCCTGGGGAGTTGATGGGGGGTGGGATGGGGGTGTCAGTGGGGAGCCATGGGAGGATGGGAGGGAGAGGGAACTGGGATTGGTATGTAAAATAAAATAGTTCATAATTTAAATTTAAAAAAGAAAAAAGATGCACTGGGGGAGGGAAAAAGAACAAAGCAAAAAGGTATTTAGGGTTTCTTCTCTGTGACTTCTCAGTCTTTCATATGCTAATATGTATTGTTAATTAATATGTAAGGAACAATCATACCTGCTATACCCCCAAATTATTTCTTATAGAATCTTTGAGGAATATAGATTATACAGATTGAATGAGTAAATCTTAAACATTGATATCGTGGGGAGAGCACTTTGGATATTTGCAGTGATTAATTTTTGTCAGTTTGACACAAATTGAGTAACCTGGCAAGAGAGACTCTCCATTGAGAAAACCTGTGGGAGCGTTTTCTTGATTGCTGATTGACATGGGAGGGCCCAGCCCTCTGTGGACAGTGCCACCTCTAGGCAGATGACTCTGAGTTGTATAAGAAAGGAAGCTAAGCGAACCAGTAAGCAGGGCTCTTTTCTGGCCTCTGCCTCAGGTTCTTGTTCTGACTTCCCCAGTGATAGATTGTGATCTGGGAGTTGTAATAAGTAAGATAAGACAACGTTCTTCTCCCTAAATTGCTTTTGATCAAAGTTTTAGCACACCAATGGAAAACAAACTAAGATAGTATTTCTAAAGGTTATTTCTGTTCTACTTGTACATTTTGAAGAGTCCTCATGCACTCAAGTGAAAAGGGGGAATAAATAATTTGTGTGTGTATGCAAATGTATGTTCATGCATGTCACAGCGTGTCCTCTATTACTCTTTGCCTTATTCCCCTGAGACAGGTTGTTCTGTGTCTCTTGGCCTGGCTGGAGGCCCAGAAAGCCAGAAAGATCTTCTTATCTCTGTCTCCACTTTGCCAGATCAGGAAGAAGGCCATACCTGGCTTTCTGGGTGTGTGTTGGTGATCTAAAAGTCAGGGGTTCATGCTTGCATAGCAAGCAAGCAAGCAATCCTACTCACTGAACCTTCTCCACAGTTCTAACACATGCACTCCTTAATAAAGTTTCATTCACTTCACCAGACATGGGGAATGCTTTAGAAAGTCATACTGTCATACTCAATCTATACCATGTAAGTTCAAGTACACTTCTCCTGTAAAGATAACTGCTTCCAAATATTTTGCATGTCATTCACATACATATCTGCCTTCATAAAAGCAATAGGTAAAAACACATCAGCTTTTACTGCAAGCAATACCTTTGTTGTTTTCTCAATGGAGAATGTTTTATGACATTGTTGTCAGCCAGAATGCATTAACTAAACAGCAATAAGTTGATTTAATAATTTCCAACTGTAGTGAACTTCCAGGACATTTTTTGACTTGACATCTTTTCTCCTTCTTCCTAGTAACAGGGCTTCCAAAAACTGCCCATCTTCTCTCTCCTTGACTATCTATATGAGTGGTTATTTTAGTCAGTGCTCTTCAGGAAATGAGAAACATAATCAATAGAATAAAGAATGGATGGAGGATAGATGGATGGATGGATGGATGGGTGGGTGGGTGAGTGGATGGAGGGGATATGAGAGATCATAGATCTTAAGGAATTGGTTCACATATTTGCAGAATCTATTCTGTCTAGAGTCTATTGTGTATGTCAGCCAGATGAAGCCCTGTGAAAGAGTTGTAGTTCAAATCCAAAGACAGCCTGCTGGTGGGATTCCCACTTTCTCAATCAAGTGTGATCAATCCTTTTCATAAAGCCTTGAGCTTCTTGGATGAGACCTAGTCACATTGTGAAGGGCTATAATTTTACAAACAGTCTATGGATTTATATATGAATTTCATCTAAAATAGAGTGTCTCAAAAATATGAATAATGTTTAACTAAACATATAGATACAACAAGCTAGTCAGTATGACAGAAAAGACTAACCATCACAGTAGAGTTGACACCGACCCCAAGAACCAGGGTAAGTAGATAGGTGGGTTAGGAATGCCACTTGGTCAAGGAAAGCAACATATCACATCCAGTTGTAGCAAACCTTGGGGTCATTTGCTGGAAGCAACTGAGATGCAAACTCTTTCTCACTGGCTTTGAAATAGGAATAAATATATCTGTGAGATATGCCATTGGTACGGTTGTAGAAAAGAGTTAGTAGTTTCACAGAGCTGAAAGCAGAGTGTTCACACTGAAAGGAAGTCGTGTGGAGAGATGGGGCCTGGGCTTCCACCTGACTCCTGGATGACCTTCCCTTAGGACTGAAACTCAGGCTCCCCACACTGCCTCGCCCAGTCAATTTGTAAGCCAAATTCTCATAACTCTCAGGTTCTTTGGAGACCATTAAAGCTTACAGTCAGTGTTAGAAATCCTTTGTTACCAATAGCAATTGCTTAAACATTAGCTATTTTGTTTTCATATTTAAATAGGGAAGATTACCTCCACATTTCCTTAGAGACTGCAACGAAGTCCAGGGAGATAATTCCTCTACAAAATAATTCTTCTGTCACTAGAGGGCATCAGAGCTTACACTAACCAAGCGACAGAACAAATTTTCTATCTATCAATACAAGTGTGTTCTATCAACCAATGAAAGTGTATTTAAGTTCATAAAAAGGGAAAAGGGAGAACTTTAAGTCTACAGGTAATCTGCACTACTGGTCATTCAGGTATTTTCACCCCCAATGAATATATTTCCCACAGGGTAGAGACTCTATTTACAAAAGGTGAACACTTCAGGAAGCCAGCTCCAAAATACAAGTTTTACAACTACTGGTTTGGAGTCACAGATACGATGAAAAGGAGGATAAATTACCTGGTTTCTAGTGTCCTTTTCCGAGCTGCTTCATGTTCAAGCACTTCCTCATGCCTGAGGAACAGCACTGCACAAAGAAAAGAGTTCCAGAGCCTAACAGGTGAGAGCTGAATGCCTGGCCCCTGAGATGTGGAAAAAGCTATTCAGTCTTTCAAATTCTGCACCATGAAAACTGGCACACTGATATCCCTTTTAACCAATCACATGGAGATGACAATGTGTTGATGAGCATCCAGAAACTGAGATGCAGATATCAAAGGGG